GTTGGGTAATTATACTGTATATAAAATGCGGACATCAGGGAGCCGCTATTAATATGCGGGGCATTGAAACTGCTTTCGAATGCACGATCACGTTTTACTTTCACTTTCGAGATTTGCGATCGCAGGTGAGATGTGTAAACTACAGCGGCAGTACCATGTCCCTTTAGTGGCTCGCGTTATTTGTTTTTTGTGCCTTTCTGAATACAGACACCAACCCATCCCTGCACTTCACATCCCCTGCACAGCCTGGAACATAACATTTATTTCCATGATCTGCCATTTTCGCTATTATCCTCGTTTGTTTCTTCACAATACCTGCAGAACTTCTGATGATTTGGCTGTGCAAGTCTAGAACATGGGCGGGTATATGCAAATGTTGGGGGCGTAACTATTAATGATCCCGACTGTAACGTCACAGTCAGTGTTATGTTCTGATTCGCCTATTTTTCAGTGGTTTTGTGCATGCACGAGATTTACATAAGAAGGGGGAAACAATGGTGTTTGAGGCTCACGGTATGTAATTTCCATGTACAGAACTGTTATTATTCAACTATGCCAAGGTAAATACAGTTTTCCATTCTATGGCACCTTTAACTCTCCCTTTTGATGAATGTAATGCATCTTGGTTGGGAAAAATATTACTTTATTTAAAAAAAAAATAATAATCTTACTGGCCCCAAACTTATGAATGGTAGTGTATGCTTTAAAATGGTATCACTACTTTATATTAGTTAGCTACTTTAACTGCTTAAAATTACGAGTAGCTTGTAGCGTGCCACATTACAGTTTCTACTTATCTTCTCCAGCACTGGCAAGCAGCAGTCATTCTTACCTATGGGTAGAGCAAGATCCTTTTTCATGAGTGCAGCTGCACACACGCTTCCCAAATAGGCCAATTCCTTCTCCAGCTGAATAATTCCCTGAAACCACAGCCACATTTACATTACATTCAGATTTACAGCCACATGACAGATGCCTCAAATACATCACTATTCCTTTCTCTGGTCAAAAACCATCCGTAATTGAGATGCTAGTAGTGGTAAATATAAATTAACTTTATTTAGATGTCCAAGCTGAAACCGTTTCCACCCAGATTTCAATACACATTTGTTGTATGAACAACAGCACTGCTCATGTTTCTTTTCTATATATTTCTGTAAATGTTGACCTGCAAATTATGTAATTTGACAGTGCAGGGCCACATAGGCTAAAAAGTAGGGTTCCTCAAATGTTAATACTTAATTTCATGCATTGGGCTCAGGTTTAAGACGCATTCATATTGAATTTCATACCTCATCAAGACCAGGGTTAAACTCATAACCAACAGCTACACATTTGAATCCATAGAAACAGGCTTTCTCGTCTTTCACATAATCTGATGCAGTTTCCAAAGAGAAGTGGGCTTCGTTACCTGATATTAGAGAAAGTAAATCAGTTAATGGGCGAGTCAGTGTAGCATAACTCACTTTGAATAATAATAAGGTGCAGGGTTATTATAGTTAATAAAAGGAAAACTACAACCATAAACATTGCCTTTACTTAAAATAAAAATAAATGTTAACTGAAAAAAATGAAGTAGAAAAAACTTATTGTACTAAAACAATGAAAGCTAAAAAGTTAATAAAAAAAAACCAAACATTAAAAAACTAAGAAACTACAAGAAAGACAAAAATAATTACTAAAGCTTCAACTATTATTAAAATAAAAACGGAAAATACAAAGATAAAAACTGATTTAAAATTTTAATTAAAAAAATATAGTATCTCAGCAATACAAAAATATAACTGATAAGGTAGCATCTGTGCATATAATCTCAGTCCTCACAGAGATAATATTCTAAAAACAATCCCAAAATCTTCCTGATTGGGATCTGATGTTTATAAACCCTCAGTAGGACAAAATATAGCTTTATCTGCTGACAATGTAAAGACTCCCGCTCAAGGGCCTTGAAGTGGTGTTAAGTAAACATTCTCAATAAATGGGTTCTTATTAATAACTGAACATCAACAAATACTGACACGTCAACAGCATGTTAATCAGCATGAAAGCATAAGTGAACATTTATAAAGCTCTGAATTTGGCTGTCTGGGACATCGCTGTTACCTGGCAGCACCAAGATAGCGGTGGGCCAGCCACTGGAGCCAGAGAACTTCTTGAGCTCGGTCCAGCTGTTGATGGTCTCGTGAACCAGAGATTTGGAGCCGAGCCCCGAGAAGTGCATCGATCGGCTGGGGATCAGGAGACGGAGGACATCTTCTGGCTGCGCTGTGCCACACTGAGGATCAAACTCAATGGTCACCCAGCGAACGCAGTCTGGGAAGGAAACCTGGAAACCAGCACAGGGAAATGTGATTAAACCACTCTCATTAACGCCTTAATTGTCAAAGATCGGCGACGGCCCCAGATTATTGTTTCACTTTCACAGCACATTAAAACGTCACACGTCATCACGCTCTTACTTGATCTGGACAAACTGTGCATCAGTAGAAAGATTAAAGACTCTAGCTTCGATATTTGACCACTGTTTTGATAAATTACTAAACTACTGTCACTGCAACAATGTTTTATGTCAGGAGTGCAAAATAATAAATCCGTATGCGTCATATTTGGAATAGAAATTCACCACGCATTTATATTCAGTCACGTCTGCAGAGGTTTATTTGTGTTCACATAGCTTCACTGAACAGCGTCAATAAATGCTTATATTCCAAAGATGCATATACATGGAGATATATAGACATATTTACATGTTTACTTCATATTTCTTCAGACAGAATCGTAATTTCTATTCATTTTCCACTGATTTATGCGATCTGATGAAACTTAGCAGCTCCCTGGGCTGTCTCGGTGTGTTTACTCTTCCGTGCTCACGCTGTGACTCAAGAGAAACCTGATTCGTCCCGTCACCTTGTCAATCTTATTGCGTCTCATAACAAGCCCCGTCTCATCCTGTCACGAGCTCCCCTGCTCTTCCGCGTTCATATCTGACCATAACAAACACAGAGAAACCTCTGTACCCACGAAATAACCAAATAATAAACACACGATTACGATAGTATATGGTTTGTATGTGATTTTCTTGAGATTTGGGGTATTTTCATAACAATAAAGAATGTGTACATCTGAAATGCTAATTTGTGCAGCGATATAAAAGGCTATAAATAGCATATTTTAACAACTGTAAATGACCAAATTCCACATGAGATCGCAAAAGGAGATTATTACAAACACTGATGGTGGTTTAAAGTGAGTTTTGTGTAAAAGAAAACTTGTCTAAAAAAAAAAAAAAAAATTTGTGTAAAAAAAAATTGTCTTATGTGCTCCTGTGGCTCAGTGGTAGGGCATTGCGTTAGCAGCGCAAAAGGTCGTGGGTTCGATTCCCAGGGAACACACATACTGGTAAAAAAATGTATAGTCTGAATGCACTGTAAGTCGCTTTGGATAAAAGCGTCTGCTAAATGCATAAATTATTATTATTATTACA